AAACCATTATACCCTGATTTCCCATTTTCAATGGGTTCAGGGTATAAAAACAGATCACTAAGAAATACAACACACTTAAAAATCGTATATTATATTATTTAAATAAATAGTTAACAGAATTTTTTAAAATTATTTCTTGTAACTATTTCTTTTATTATTATCATACCTTTTTATATTATTTTTGACATAATATTATTTTTTCTAAATATATTACAGTTACGAAAACATAACAATATTTTCCAGATATGATAATATTTTATTATGAATTTTACAAACAGGCTGCACTTAAAGCAGTCAGGAGTCAAGTTGACCAAGTTCGGCTTTAACTTCAGGGCAACGTTGCCATGGTTCCCAAGCTAAAAATCTTGGTTTGCATTTTGCTGCTTGATGTCTGCTTTTTCTATTTCAGCTGCATTTTTGAGAGCAGCAACAACAACAACAACAAGTTAACAACCAGTTGCATGGCATGGCCATAAAAAGCAAATCGTTTTTAATGCGTTTATATTGTAAGCAAGCGCTGGCAGCAGCTGAGACCCAAAGGTCTCCTCGGTAAGGCAAAACAACAATATGGCCAAGACAAACAGTTAAGCAGACACTGGCTGACAAGCCTGAGCAACTGTTGTCACAGCCAAACGGACGGACGGACAGACAGACAGACAATGAGGGAGACATGCACACATAGAGTAAGAGATGGATAGAGAGAGAGAGAGCGAGAGAGGGAGAGAGAGATTCTAACGCATACATAAATCACAAGCCAAATCCTCAAATGTGCACTTCAGTAGTAGTAGTAGTAGTAGTTGTTGTTGTTGTTGTTGTTGTTGTTGGCTGCCAAGCCAAAGACGCTGATGACGTCGTGTTTTATGAACAGAATGATGGCAACTGAAGCTACAACAACAACAACAACGAATGCAAATAGAAAAGGGCAAACGCAATGAAAGGTTCATGAAACTTTTTTTTTATAATTTTGTAGTGGAAGTATAACTGACTATTCAATACCCTGCTAAATTTAACCTAGAAAGAATTACACCTCGAGGAAAGGTAGTTAAATCTTGACTAGAGTCGATAAAGTTGCTTACTTCACTGTTCTAATCAAGACAAAACCCATATACCCTACCAAAAACATTCCCCGTACAGCGCATTCGAAAACACAGAGGCTCAGCGACTGAAGTTGCTGCCACTTTAGATGCAAGTCCTGCCACGAAAATAAAAAAAAAGCGTAAAGGAAGTTGCTGTAGTGGCTGCTCGGCTATTGAAAGGTGAACAACTTCAGTGAGCAAACTACAACAACAACAACAGCAACAACAACGAGAACGACAACGGCAATGACTTACGCAGCCCACAGTCAAGAGAGGTTGACGGTTACTTGGCGGGGTAGGCGTGGCAGCTTGAGCGCTGCTGACACAAAAATCAACGCATGGAAAGTAGGACAAGTGTCAAAATCACTTAAGTGCGAATGCCTCGCCAAATAGAAAGAAAGCGAGACAGCAAGACACGAATTGATGGCAGTGGAGATGGAGTGGACGGAGGAGCGGAATGGCAGCGAACGGACAGACATTACCACCTACAAGTATGACGAGAACGTCGCGCTGAAAGGCAAAGCTGAAATGAAAGACAAGCAACTGAGGAAACGGATTTAAGTAGTGGCTGTGCCACTGCCAGAGAACAATAGCAAATTGCGCCAAGGGTTTGTAATGGACGGCAGACAGACAGACAGACAGGCAGATGGTGGGTGCTGGCAGCGCACTGCCAACGAGAGTGTGGCTATCTCTATGTCTGTGTCTGTGTGTGTGTGTGTGTGAGCATTGCACCACACTGGCTGGTTTCATGCTACTTAGTTATAACTGCAATTCAGGCAAAGTGCTCAATGAAAACATTTTTTTCTGCTGCAGCCAAAGCGAAATGGTAATGCCCTTACTATATGCTGTAGAGGAATCAGATTTATAAATACATTCAGTGCTGAAACTAATTTAGTATATATATTTAGAGATATGTATTTATAGACATGCATGTATGCATCCATATTTTTTTCTATGCATAAATTTTTTAAATAATAAATTGCATGTAAAAAATATTATAGTTAAATAGATTTTAGCTGACTTAAATATATTGAAAAAATAAAATAAAAAATAAATAAATAAATAAAAATAAAAAAATATATATAAATAAAAAATAAGTGAAATAAATAAAAATAAAATAAATTAAAATAAAATGAAACAAATATATGTATATACAATACATATCCATACATATATAAAGTAGTCTAATTATTTTTATATGTCATGTCATTTATTTATTTGATTTTATTTTATTAAAAAGGAGAATTCAGCACACTTTTTTATTATAGCAAAAACAAAATTTTTGTCTTCGTTATTATATATAAAAATATGTATATTTAAAAAAAATGTTCTCTTCTCTTATCAAATTTAATTTCATTTAATTGCAAAGTAAAAAAAATCTTGTTGGCTTTTACCTTGATAACTTTTTAAATTTTGCATGTTTTTGCATTCATGTAAAATATATTTCAGCTCACAAACATTATTTTTAAATATTTAAATATTTATTTGTCTTCAGCAAAAAAAAAAAAAAATTACTTCATTATTATTGACACAAAAACGGAGTGAATGTGACAACGTTTGGTATTACTCTTTGTCTATTGTGCCTTTTGTGTGTTAGGGTA